CTCTATATATATATATATATATATATATATATATATATATTCGGAGATTGGATCAGAAGGATGAAGCGAACACCACATATTTCCTTGTCAAGCTCGACAGTTTACCAGTGGCAGTGTCGAACTCCCTCTGACGCCTTCCTGGGCTGAAAGCCTGAAACCATGTGACTTGGAATAAGTTTGGAAAATACCCTTATACACTTCTCTTTTTTTTTTCTTTTTCTTTTTCTTTTTCTCTCTCTCTCTCTCTCTGGTGTTTTTTTTTTTTTTTTTGCTCAATAAACATCTGTATTATTTAGAGAAGATCCGCATGGATCATGATCACCACAAGGGGGATCTCCCCTAGGCAAAAGGAACCGGACATGGAGAAAGATCTGGCCCAATTGCCTAAAGTATCAGCTGCATTGTTTGCTAATCTTGGAATATAAGCAAACGACATAGAACTACAACCATCAGCAAGAGCAATTACATCAGAAAAAAAGGCAATCTAACTTCTAACATCCAACGTGGGGGGTTGTCCCTAGCATCAATGGCCAATTTAGAAGCACTTTGAATAAGATTGTTTGACCAACCCTCCTCAACAACTAAAGATAGCGCTAGAGCAATTTCTCTCCATTCAGCTTCCAACACGGATTACACCCTGTAGAAGTCCAGTTTAACAGTGATAGCCTCTATATTTCCTATATTTCCATCTCGCACCAGCGCAGCCAAGCCTACTGAGTTGTTGACCGCCGATGCATCTACCGAGATTGCTAGGCAATTCTAATCGAGGGGATTCATTTAGTGGGCGAGTCACGGCCTGTAGCACTGGGGCTGTCAGCAAGGCTGACCTCTGTACGATGGCGAGAAGCTAGGCAGTCCAAAAAATGGTTATGCAGTCTTCTAATATGTGATTCTGGCTCAAGCTCGATCTTGAAGAAAGAGCCTTATTCCTTCAACGCCATATAGCATCTAGGGCACATCCGGTAAACAACAGAAATTCCTGAAAAGGAAGGCGTTGGCCCTTTAAAATAATCCATCCGAGGAATTCTTGAATGTTTTCTACCTGAATGCCTTCCACATGAATCGCTCATCTACATGAGAACCAAACCATTCACGCCAGAGGACACCTTAAAAAAATGCAGCATGGACTCCCTGTCGTGGCCACATAACAAGCAACTCATGTTAGCCTTATGCACAACTCGACCTATCCGATCTCTCGGTAGGCACTTCGTGAAAATCCTCCAAAACAAGAGCTTGTGACGTTCTAGGCATCTCATGCCCCACAACTTTTCCCATAAGTGGTCTACAAGTTGACATCTTTGCTCTCATCCACTCAATATGCACCTTTAACACTAAATTTCCCTTTACCATGATGTCGCCACATTAGCTCATCATCACTTGGAGTTGAACGTGGCCTAATCTGCAAAATGGCCCTGACAGATTATGCGACTAAGGTTGACTCCAAAAGTTGCCTATACTATACTCTCATCCCCGGTAAGAAGAGCTCATTGGCCTTTGAAGGCGCCATATTCCCGGGAGATCTTGGATCGAAAGTTGCTCTTGGGATGCCATGCTCAAACCAAGGGACCCATGGAGTCGTCCAAATCCCAACATTCGGCCCCACTTCCCATGAAAAAGCAGGCTCCCTTCTTGATAATTTCTCTGGCTTGAAGAATTCATTTCCACACCATGGACTCTGCACCCGAAATCTGGCAAGATCAGAATTCTCTACTTGGACAGTATTTTTATCTAAGGCTGACACACATCAAGGGTAAGTCTCCCGCCCCTAGTTTCCAACTCAATTTAGACAACAAAGGCTTACTTTGTAGATTTAAAAAAAATTACTTTTAACTATGTTGAAAAAAAAATGTTATAAAAAATAATTGAGTTTTTAATAAACTATAATTATAATAGCTGTGTTGGTTTCAAAATCAGTGTAATAGTATTTGATAAATTATGAGATTAAATTACTGTGGATAATTAAAAATTACGACTATATTATTTTATTTTATAATATAATATATATAATTAAAATATAATATATATTTATTATTATATTTAATATAATACAAAAAAATATTATCATATAATATATTATATAATTATGATATAAAATGTAATAATATTATTAAAATAATAACTGAAATAATTAAAATAATGATTATATTATATTATACAATAATATAATATATATAATTACAATATAATGTATATATATTATTATATTTAATATAATACAATAAAATTATTATTAAATAACATATTATATAACTATGATATAGAATATAATAATATTTTTAAAATGGTTAATATAATTACAATATTATAAAACATATTATAATAATACTTAAGAAATATTAATATTTCAGTTATAATATAATTAAAAATTACAACTATATTATAATATAATATATT